ATTTTCAGGATCTCTCCACTTTCGTCCAGTAACAGCCAAGGCTGGGCCCTTATCTTGTCTCCCAGATGGTGTTTCTGCCTCCAGTCTCACCACACCCACGTTCCATCCACCCACTCAGATGTTCGAGCAACCCTTACCTGTGAAGATAATCATGTGCTCCCTGCTAAAACTCCTTCGAAGGCTTCTCATCCGTACCAGTTAGGAACTGTTCTTGGCCCCCTGCAACAGAAATCTGGTTATGTTTGTTTAACTAAACACAAGGCTATTTTCCTCATGTCATCCAAAGTGCCAAGACATACAGCCCCCTTCCACTGATCATTGCAGTTTTTTATGTATTTTATAGCAGTTGTGTATATTTTTATGGTATAAACATACACCTTTTAAGATTTAATATAATTGGGCCTAAGCACATTTTTTTTGTTTGTTTTTTTAAACTTCCCAAGTGATTCAAATGCCCAGCCAGGTAGACAAGCAGCTTGTGATTTGCAGCTGTAGTCTGGAGAGAATTATTCACAAGAGAGTGCAGAGGGTCATGGTGACTCAAAAACCAGGCTGGGACTGCTGAAGAGAGAGCAAGTGACATGTGTCAGAGTCAAGACGTTGCAGTGTACGACTAACTTATTTTTTCTTTTTAAGTCTTTGGTCATAGGACACGTGTGCTGGAGAGAGACAGAGAGAGGGAAAGGAGATATCACCCCGCCCAGGGGGACAGCCACACTGCAATCCCTCCTCCTCCATTCTCCTCTTGGCATTTTGGGCATACATGCACATGTTCTCAGCCTGTTTCAGGGCACCAGGTCTGGGACTTGGATTGCGATTGGCCATGTGGGAGTCCAGCACCTTGACCACCATGCCACCTGCCGGCCCCACTCTCAATTATTTTATTTACTTTTAAATTTGCCAGAGGGCACATGCACTTAGCAAAGAGAGACAGAAAGAGAGAGAGAGAGACAGACAGAGAGAAGTGAGAAATTCCCCCATGGGAAATAGTCATGCCACAGTTTATTCCCCTCCATTTCTTCCTTTTTAAACATTTTGAGCACACACGTACATGCGCCTGATGTATTTTTCAAGCCACCAGGACCAGGCCTTGAAGATAGAGCCAGTCAGGTGGACTCTAGCTGCCACCAGTTGACCTGAGCTCTCAATTATAGTTTGGAAACTTTTGATCCCAGGCTGTTCACACTTCCTTCCTAACAATCCAAATACATTTCCATATTTTTTTCTTCTCTAAAAGTGCCTCAGATGCTCTGTGATTCTGAGGGTATAATCTGCTGTGCCAGTAATTATTTCTTGGTAAGAATTCCTTTGTGTGTGTTTTCTGGTTGTTGTTAGAGGGTGTACACGCTTACCAGAGAGAGGAGAGAAAGAGAGAGGAAAGGAGAACGCACCCCATAACTGGAGCATGGTCATGCTGCAATCTCGTCTTATCCTTCTCTCTCTCCTCTCAGGATTTTGGACACTCACGTTCATGTACTCAGTGTTGTTTCTCAAGCCACCAGGTCTGGGTCTCTAACCATAGGGGTTGGTCATGTGGGATCCAGCTGCCATAACCACCATATGACAAAATCGGCCTTTTTTTTTTTTTTATTATAGTCTTTTTACTTATTTCTTCCGAGAGAGAGAGAGACACAGAGAGAGAGAGAGAGCAAGTGAAAGTGTCAGGTCTTGCTGACAGGTCCTTACTACGGTCCACCCCCAGCCTTAGCTAGTGAGGATCATGGGCACGCACACATACATGTTCATCTGACATGTATGGGGAGACCTCAGGACATGAACTGGGACCTTACCATGTGGCTTCAGCATTGCTGAGTGCTGTTACCCCTGAGCCACTGAGGTTGCCCAGCTTTTGTGTTTTGTTATTTACTTACATTAGGTATATGCAAATAGGACTGGCTAATACCACGGTCACCTCTTTCTAATCTGTTCTTTTTCTCATTCTTATGAAAAAAATAGATAAATAAATCTTTAAAAGGGAGAAAAAAGACATCCTACAATGTGCAGGACAGCCTTTGGCATGAATAGATTCAAGGAGACTAAAGTAGGGAGCCTGGAGCCAGGAACCCCCTTGGCCAAGGTGAGGGCAGTCCAAGGAGGAATCTCAGAACCTCTCTACTTTTACAGGGACACAAAACCCTTCCATGAACTCAAATGAGGGTCTTTTAGGCTTTATCTGAATATCTCAACAAAGGAGTAACTCACGGTGCCAAGGCAGTTCCTCCTAACTGCACTGCTTCCTCAGCAAGTTTACAATGAACTGAGATCTGCCACTCTAACTTCCTGGAACCCAAAGAAACTTTGGCCTTGGTCAAATGCCCTTTGGCAGGTATTTGCAAGCTTACATAATTCTCTAGCATGTGCCAGTTAGCTGGAAAACACCAGCACATTCAAGTAAAATTATAAACATGGACACTCTCTAGAAGATGATTAAAAAAATGTGAGTTGTGGGGGCAAACAGGTGGTGTGTGGCTAGGGACTGGGCTCCCACATGGCTGATTGTGGATTGAGTTCTGGGCCTGGCAGCTTGAACTCATGCCAGGTGTATGCGTATGCATTCTCAAAATTCCAAGAGCAGAATGGAGGCAAAAAGATTGTGGCATGGCCAAGCCCCACAGGGGTGATTTCTCGCTTTCTGTCTATCTCTCCGGTGAGCACTTGTACCCTATAACAAAAATTTCTCCAAAAACAAAACAAAACAAAAAAACCACATGAATTATGTGTAATTGGAATAGTAACTGAGAAGTTGAAATAAGAAGTTTACGTCTGTGGTCAGGGAGTTAAGGGGACTGGATCCCACATGGTTGACTGTGGTTCAAGTCTTGGACCTTTGACTGACTGTGGTTCAAGTCTTGGACCTTTGACTGACTGTGGTTCAAGTCTTGGACCTAGCAGCTTGATAAACCCTCCAGGTATGTGTACATGCACACCAAAAATCCCAAAAGAAGGGAGAAATGGAGATGGAGAAGGGATTGCCATCAGGCCATTCTCCAACGGGGGCGACTCCCCCCTCCCCCCCCAAATGCATGTACCCTCTGGCATTTTTTTCTTTTTTTAATAAAAGTTTACCAGAAATGTGGCTGGAGCAACTATTGTTTTTGTTTTACACTGGGCTTGAAGTAAGCCCATTACTTCACCATCCTCTAAACTAATCCTAGGCTCAGCTGCAGTGGTACAAGAGGGGGAGCACATTTGCACAGCTGCTGACACTGCATGGGAAGTGTGGATTCCCACCATCATGGCCTGTACCTGTGCGCCCATGATATTAGAGATGATGTCTCCTTATCTCTGTCTGTGTCTCTTCCTCATGGAAGAAATATATTAAAAGAAAATTCTAAAAGAAGAACATTGGTACACGTTTAATGTGCCTACCCAGAAGGTATCCACAGACGCCTATGTACCTCTCTAAACATTTCTGAGCAGGCAGGTAAACATAGACACTTAAAACACAAACAAAAACACAGAAGTAATTTGTTATGTTTGCTCACTTAGGAATATGATTTTGAAACATTTTCCTTGAAAAACAAGTAATATTTCTCTTTCCCATGAGGAGGTATCACATTATGTAACCATTCTACTTTTCTCCTTGAGTGTTGTCCCCTCAGAAAGGGACAAAAAGACAAGAGATGCACAGAAGTAAAAAAATTGCTATTTTGGTATTGTGGTTGTTTTGGCCTTGTCAAATAGGAAAAATATGAAAAGAATACAGAATTCTGCTAACCAGGTAATTAACACCATGTATTTACAACTAAAAATGCTGAGAGGAGAATGGAGGCAAAGGGGAGGGGGGAGAATTTCTCACTTTTCCCCTGTCTCCTCGGGGACAGCATGTCCCCTATAACAACAGAAAGTCTAGGGACCAGCAGATGACACATAATGGTTACATTGCTGGGCTCCCATGCAGTTGACCTGGATTAGAGTCCCAGAACTGGCAATTTAAAACTCAAACCGAGTTCATGTGCATGCATGTGTACCAACAATCCCAAGAGGCAAATGGAGTTGAAGGAATTGCCTTGGCCATCTCCCCTGGGAGGTGACTGCTCACTTTCTGTCTCTCTCTGTGTCGATGGCAAGTACATGTGCCCTATAGCAAAAATCTCTAGCTCAAAAAAAAAAAAAAAAAAAGCCTCTAAAAAAAAAGTGATAATAATAAGTAAAATTAAATGGATAGTTTTTTTAAAGTATGATTTTATTTAACTTTATTTATTTTCAACTTGATCAGAGAGAGAGAGAAAGTGAGAAAGCAAGTCACCAGGTCCCGGACTTGAACCACGGTCGGCCATGTGGAGTCCAGTGCCTTTAACCACCATGTCACCTGCCAGTCCCTAAATGGATAATTCTTTAAATAAAAATTGCAGAGAAGAAAAGGTGAGGCCAGGCGGTGAGATGTACCAACCTCATACGCCATCAGAAGACCCAAAACAAGGCAATAAAAAATGAAACTACAAAGGTGCCAGCTTGAGGGGTAATGGATAAGGACCCATACGGCGCACTGTGCTTGTTCTAGTCTTGGACCTGGCGACTTGCATGTGTGGAGTGTTACCAGTCTCCGTGGCAGGCTCAACCACATGCATCCTCTAGCAAATTAAAAACAAAGTACAAAAAGCATCCATCTTGGTGTTGCCCAATTTCTAAATAATAACCAAAGCCATTCATAACTAATGACATTCCAGAAGTGACTTCAGCTCTTTGAGGCGTACCAAACACACCTCGTTTTTCCAACTTCGTCTACTGTTTCCCGCGGATGACGCCCTTCGTAAACGACAAGCTATTTTTGCCCGCAGCTCAGCCTTTCTGGACCTTTCCCAGCCGCGGGATAGAAGGAGCCTGCAGGTGTGAGTGCAGACTGTCCCCGTGGTCCCTCGACCCCGCCTCGGGTCATTCCCGGCTAATCGCGTTCGGAGGCCGCCGTAGGGGGCGGGCTGAGCGCGTGGGCTACGATTGGTTTTACGACGCAGGGTGGGCGGGGCATGGCGCTCGGCCTATAAATACGCCTCGGCGCGAACGGCTCGGTTTGGGCCGCCGTCTCCTGCAGCGAACGTGTCCACTCTGGTCACCGTTGGAGCCCGGATCCAAGCACGACCCCCGGCGAGTCATGGCGTTGAAGGCGGTGTGCGTGCTGAAGGGCGATGGCCCAGTGCAGGGCACCATCCACTTCGAGCAGAAGGCAAGG